ATTCTCCCTCACATGGAATCCCTCTCAACACTTCAAATCTCTCTGACTTTCCTTCTGCCACCAGCTGGAGAACACTGCTTTTAAGGAGCACATGTGGGGTGCCTGGGTGGCTCAGTCAGTTAAGAATCTGACTCTTGATTTCAGCTCGGGTCGTGATCTCAGGATTGTGAGATCGAGCTCCGTGCTGGGTGTGGAGCCTGCTTAAGCTTCTCTCTCTCCCTCTCCCTGTCCCCCCCTTAAAAAATAAACGAAATAAAGAGCATGTGTGATTAGGTCAGAACCACCTGGATAATTTCCCTGTTCTGAGGTCAGCTGTGCCATATAACATAACCTAGTAGTGAAAATCATCAAGTTCACAGTCCTGAAGATTATGCAGGGCTTGTATGCCAGGGGAGTGGGAAATACTGAGGGCCAACCTAGAAGTCTGCCTTCCACACCATTCCTTTACTTTTAACCTATCTTTGTCTTTATACTTAGATCAAGCTTCTTATAGATAGCATATGTAGTCTCTCTCTCTCTCTCTTTTTTTAAGATTTTATTTATTTGACAGAGAGAGAGAGCACAAGTAGGCAAAGCGGCAGGCAGAGGGAGAGAGAGGAGCAGACTCCCTGATAAGCAGGGAGCCTGACGGTGGGGCTCAATCCCAGGACGCTGGGATCATGACCTGGGCCGAAGGCAGATGCTTAATCGACTGAGTCACCCAGGTGCCCTGTAGTCTTTTTTTTTCAGTCTTATAGTCTCTATCTTTTCATTGGGGTGTTTGGCCTTTGCATTTATTCAGTGAACAATGTGGTTGAATTAAAATTACTGTCTTTTTGTTTCCTGTTTTTTCCATCTTTTTTCCTTTTCCCCCTCTATTTTCCATGTTTTTTTTAATTAAGAATTTAAATTTCATATGACCTCCATTTTTGGTTTATTGTTTATACTTCCTGTTATCATTTTTTGTAGTGCTTGCCTTAGGCTTTACAATATGCATCCTTAATGAATCAGTCTCCTTTCAAGTTATATTATACTGCATCACATAAGATGTAAGAACTTCACAATAATATACTCCCAATTTCTCCCTCCCGTCTTTAGTGCTGTTGTTATCGTACTTTTTACTTCTACTTATGTTGTAAGCCTATACTATATTTTAGACAATTTAAAATTGTTTAGAGCAGTTTAAAATAAGGAAAAGAATAAGTTATATTTTATATATATAATTTATATAAATTATATATTTTATTTATTTTTTTTAAAGATTTTATTTATTTGACAGAGACACTGTGAGAGAGGGAACACAAGCAGGGGGAGTGGGAGAAGCAGGCTTCCCGCGGAGCAGGGAGCCCGATACAGGGCTCGATCCCAGGACCCTGAGATCATGACCTTAGCCGAAGGCAGATGCTTAACGACTGAGCCACCCAGGCGCCCCTAAATTATAATTTTTATAGTATGTCTTATATATGTACAATAATAAATAACAGTGTATCAAATATATTTTATATTTACCTTTATTTTAGTTCTCTCTGGAGATCTTCATTTCTTTGTATAGATCCATGTTTCTATCTGGTATCCTATTCCGTCTGCCTGAAGAACTTCTTTTAATATTTCTTGTAGTGCAGCTCTGCTATTAGGAATTATCCCTGTTTTTGTCATTTTTAGGAGGTATTTTCACTGGGTATAGAATTACAGGTTCACAGTATTTTCTTTCAGCACTTTACAGGGGCCCATTTGTTTTGCTGTTAGTGTGCAGGATTGAGTCTGTCTGGTTGGGAGCTGTGCTGGGTTTGGGTTTGCTGTTTTGGTTACCTTCATCATACCTTTAACTTCCAATTCCTATAGCATTACCATGTGCTGTTTCCTGGTGTGTGTAGTTTCTGACAAGAGGTCTGCTGTGTCTCTTTATTCCTATATGTGTAATGTATCTTTTCTTCCTGAGTGTATACAGCATTTCATCTTTGGTTTTTAGCTGTTGAATATGATATGTCTTGATGTTTGTTCTTGGTATTTTTCCTGCTTGGGTTCTCTGGGCATGTTGGATCCCATTACACTGCTTACTTTTACCCTACAGCTTTTGGATTCTGTTTTGTGTCTTTAAGTCTTTTCTTTTTATGTATCAGTTTGGGGAATTTGTATTGTGTAAGACTAATTGACCTGTCTTCCAGTTCGCCAGTTCTTTCCTTGACTGCAGTGTGAGTCTCTTGATGAGCCTGTTGAGGTCAGTCTGCTTATTTGCTACTGTATTTTTATTTTTAACATTTACATTTGGCTTTTACAATTTCCAGCTCTTTAGTGGAGTTGCTCATCTGTTCCTACATTTTGTCTACTTTTTCTGCTAGAGCCTTTAACATATTCCTTTTTTTTTTTTTTAGATTTTATTTATTTGAGAGAGAGAATGGGAGAGAGAGAGAGGGCATGAGCAGGGGAAAGGGCAGAGGGAGAAGCAGACTCCCTGCTGAGTGGGGAGCCTGATGCAAGGCTCAATCCCGGGACCCCGGGATCATGACCTGAGCTGAAGGCAGACACTTGACTGAGTCACCCAGGTGCCCCTTGTCTACTTTTTCTACTAGAACCTTTAATATTTTAGTTATTATTTTTTAAGATTTTATTTATTTGAGAGAGAGAGAGAGAGGGCATGAGCAGGGGGAAGGGCAGAGGGAGAAGCAGACTCCCCGCTGAGCAGGAAGCCTGATGTAGGGCTTCATCCCGGGTCTCCAGGATCATGACCCAAGTCGAAGGCAGATGCTTAAATGACTGAGCCACCCAGGTGCCCTAACATGTTAATTACTTTAAATTCCGTAATAGTTGTAACATATGGGTCATCCCCAAGGCTTTTTCTATTGATTGCTTTGTCCCTTCACAGTGTGTTGTGTTTTTCTTCTTCTGTGCATATGTGTATCTCATAATTTTTGATTGAGCGTTAGACATTATAAGTAAGACCGTAAAGAGCGAAGTAAATAGTATTTATGCCTAGAAATGGGCATGCTTTCAGTAGGCTGTTAGTATGGGGATCAAGTCAGTCTAGTTAGGAGTTAAGCTCACCTAGATTCTGTTACTGCTTTGCTCCCCTTCACTGCAGCATAAGCCTCTGTTGCTACCATCTGCATAGAGCAGGGGCTGAGTTTCTGGAGGGTATTTCTCCATGTTCCTGTTCTACCCTCAGCTCTCAGCCTTCCTCCTATTTTTTTTTTTTTTTAAGATTTTATTTATTTATTTGACAGAGAGATCACAAGTAGGCAGACAGGCAGGCAGAGGGAGAGGGAGAAGCAGGCTCCCTGCTGAGCATAGAGCCTGATGTGGGGCTCGATCCCAGGACCCTGGGATCATGACCTGAGCCGAAGGCAGATGCTTAACCATCTGAGCCACCCATGTGTCCCCCTCCTATTTCTGTGCCTCAAAGGGAATCTCTATGCTCTTGCCCTTTCCCGGCAGTAGATCTCTGTTACTTCCCACTTGCGGGGAGTGAAGTTGGGAGGGCAGTCTCCATTATCCTGGTTCACCTTCAGTCCCTGTGGCCCCGGGTCTTGGGTGGGCTTTCTCCGTGGCCCTGTCTGTCCCACAGGACGAGTTTTTTTTTTCCCTTTTCTCTTTTCACCATCCCAAATGGGTCCTCACATGTTCCAAGTAGGAGACAGGATTTGCAGACCTACTCCCAGTCTCTTAAGGCTTTTATTCGGTAGAGGAGAAGGGCTGGGCTAGGCTTTATGCTTTTTTTGCAGTGTTGGCTGCTTCGCTGCTCCTGGCCTACATCTCTGAGGGAGGCATTCTCCTGCCTCTTGCTCTGAACCTGGTCTTGGTCAGGAGCACACTCTGGAGGTTTGTTGAGAACAGCCTGTAGGGCGTGTACTCACTCGTGTGGTGTCTGTGGCTAGCCGCTACTTGGCTTGTAGCAGTTGGTTAAAAATTTTAGCCGAACTCTTCTTACCTGTCCGGATGGTATACAGTGTCTCTTCTTCCTGGGCCCTGTCTCAGGCGAGCAGGTGCTCATGTACAGTTTCTCCTTTGAGGGGCTTCTCTTCCCTTAGATTTTATTCTACTTGGTTGCCCTGTGACCTCGGTTCTTGGATGACTTCACAGAAAGTCATGCTATTTGTAGTTTTTCTGAGCACAGTGTTCTTTCCAGCTTGCACAGTCCTTGGGGGAAGCCTAAACCTCCTGGACTTTATTTCGATCATTACAAAAAAAACCCAACACCAAGCCCACTAGATGCTGGGCTCTGTGCTGAGTGAGGGGGAATTAAGCTTTGAGGAATTCTCTCTCCTAGCGTTGTAGTCTCGATAGGAGGGTCATTCTCGAGCACGTTACCTAAGCTTCCCCCGTGGGAGGCTTTGCTTGTAATTGGAATCTTAAGCGATGTCTCCAGGTGGAGAGGTGGGAGGTAAGCAGGCATACTGGGCCCCCTTGCACACCCCCAAGACAGCAGTCTCGTGGCTTTGCTGTCCATGCCCTTGTGGCCTCTCCATCCACATCTGGTTCTCCAGGTTCATGTCCATTTTGTGTACCTCTGATAGCCTTCTAATGAATTCTTTTTTGCTGAAGTTGGTAGAGCTACAAGTCTGTCATGTACAACCTAGGACTTCTGCCTCAGGAAATGTATAAGCTGGAAGGAGAAACACAATACCCAGAAAACACTGAAATACCAAGTGCAGAGCAAAATAGTGCCACCGAGCTTGGACAGGCCAGGAGTCAGCCGACTTCTTCATAAAAGGCCAGACGGTAAATAGTTTAGTCTTGTGGCCATATGGTCTCTGTTGCCAACTACTCACCTCTACCATCCTAGTGCAAAAGCAGCGTGGACAGCACGTAAACAGATGGGAGCAGCTGTTCCAGTAGAGCTGTTCACATGTGCAGGCAGCCATGGTTCGCCAGCTCCCGCTATAGGCCACCGTGTATATTTAGAGGAAGAGTAGAGACAGGCTGTATATCTACTGGTCTTTGCAAAGGCCAGAGTTTCAAGGGTCAGGGTCCCCATGCCTGAGTATTAATGGACATCATTCTTTCTGCCCATTCTTCTCTTGCAGAAGCAAAACCGGCCCCAGAAATATTTGAAAATGAAGTCATGGCACTGCTAAGAGACTTTGCTAAAAACAAAAACAAAGAGCAGAGGCTGCGCGCCCCAGATCTGGAATACCTCTTCGAAAAGCCGCACTGAGCTGTGCACCACCGCCTGCCGTGGGGGCTCGGTCCACAGACCCTAACTTAGGATAGACACTGGCCTCGACTTCCTGCTTCTCCTGAGACACTCAGCCCACCCAGACTGTTTGTCTTGCTTCAAATGATGGACCCATCTCTCAGGACATGTAAATACTGGGTGTGACTCATTCTAAAACTTTGTTGGTTCAGTTTTAAGACTAAAAGCGGTTGCTGGTGTTGTCGGCACTCTGGCCTGTTTCTCTGGCTCCCGGCTCCCGAGGTGGGCCTCTGCCACAGGAGGGCAGTGTCGGGGAGGGGATGGTGCTGGCTCATTGCTTTAGCGGGAAGTGTGTGTGCTCAGTGCAGAAAGGCAGCCAGCTGTGGGGGCTGGGTGGTAAGCTTCCCCAGCAGCCCAGGACTTTGTTCAAGTGAAATCCCTCCCCCCCCACCCCCCCTTTCCCGCCCAGTAGGGTCCTTCCTGCCAGGGCAGCAGACCCAAGCCCCCTGAGCTGAATCTTTCAGAGGCACGGCAGGCAGAACGAGGGCAGCAAGCAGGGATGTGTGGGCATGATACTGACAAGTCCACATCCTCCTCATCAGATTTTCTCTAGAACGTTCACTCTGTAAACTGAAAGATAATTAAATATTAAAGAATATTTTATGAAGGAAAAATCACAGTTCCCGGCCCTCACACAATTATTTTAATTCTGTCCTCACATAATCCATAGTCATTTGTCTCCAGAGTTATACAAGGTGACAACCACAGGGTTTATCCCCATGTGGCACGATGGCAAACTTTTTCTGTATTTCTGCAGTCTTCCCCATCATTGTAGTTGACAAATTGACAACACATAAGCAGTAACATCTTAGAAGGAATCGGTTGGAAGTGCTGAGCTCCCGGACCGGAAGACTAATGTGTGGCTAGCAGTGGTCTCCCTGGAGGGATTTTGCCCTCAGATCTGTAACCCAGTCAGAGCTGTCGGCACCCGAGCTGGGCCAGGACCAGCCAAGGGTGTCGACCTCAGAAGGCAGTCCGGGATGGATGAGCACGGGGTTGGTGATCACAGGAGATGCACGGAGAGAGGAAGTGCCTGCTTCCAGCATTCTGGAGAGCCTCCTCCTGGTCCTCCCTGCCCCTCCGTGTCCCCTGCTAAGGAGAGAAGAGAACTAGCCTTTACTTACACGACCCTGTGAAAGCCTCACAGCACCCCTATGGACAAGTGGTGTTATGCTGATTTTGTAGATGAGAAAGTGGTCCCAGAGAGCAATTTGTCCAAGGTCAAGTAGCTATTTAGTCAGAAAGTGACAATCTCCTTTAGTTCTGCCTCCAAAGCGTATGAACTTTCTACTAGACCACTCTTTACTGGTGGAAACTTAGTAGGAATTCATGCTTTGCAAAGTTAGGGCCAAGACGTGATCATTCTGAGACCGTGAACCTGCCAGGTGCTTTCCAGAGTAAGCCTGCGGCTGCCCAGGGCAGCTCGCGTAAGTAACGGAGCAGTGTCGGCACTGGTTTCAAGTTCGGATCCCGGTTCCGCTGCTCATCTGTTGGCTGAGTGCATTGCCCTGAGCCCCCATTCCCTCATCCATAAAATGGGGGTGATGACTCTCCCTATCTTAGCTGATTGTAAGTTTCAGATGAGAAGAGAAAAAGCTCGAAAACTCTTCCACGGCCCCCAGCACACTCAGCTCTACGTAGATATTAGGTGTCAACAACGCTTGGTCGAGGCCTCAGCCTGAGCCTTAAAAGCCGCCTCCTAACACCAGTCACCTGGCATGTCACTGAGGTCACCAAAACTCGTGCGGGGCAGTCTCCTGTGCAGGTGGGAAAGCCGAGCCCGCTGGAGAACCACGGGGGTGTCTTAGCAGCCAGGGGAGACAGAAGACGCCCTGGAGGCGAGAAGCAGGCGTCAGAGTGACAGCTGGGAGGCAGAAGCAGGGCTCTCAAGAGAACGTCCCCTGGGACTCCCCGCAGACTCCGGCCACTTGGGGACTCGTTTGACGTGCTGGGTGGAGGGCGTTAAGCAGCCGAAGAGTTTGTGGAGCGAGCGGGACTGTAAGATGTGCACACAAACTGGGCAGCGACTTGCCCATCCATTCTGGATGCTCCCGCAGCCCACCCCAGCGGCCTAGTGGGCAGCTTGGGCCTTTCCCCCAGGGTTTCGAGGTCTCCTGACCCTGATTTTGTCTCCTTTAACATGATGTTCAACTGTTGCCACTGCCACCCGGGCCTGGCATGCTTCTAAAGAACGGTCTTCCTCCTAGGCTGCTGGCTTGTGTCAGCTCAGGCAGTGAAGGATCTTGCTAACTTCAGCTGCTCAGTGTCAGACCCAGGGGTGCTATGTAAACAGTTCTTCCCTTTATTAGGCGTTAACTAAAACTAGGCCGGCCCACAGTGCATTTTTTAAAAATTAATAAATAGCAAGGGCCAGCAGCCCCCCCAAGGACTTGTGGGGAACAGGAGCCGGCCCCATCGCTCTCAGTCTGACACATCACTGCCCAGTGACCTCTCTCCAAGCCGGGGCCTGGCAGAGGAGCTTCTGGCCCTACGCTGCCCACCTGAAGTGGTTTTGTGAGTCCTGCCCGCCAGGCTGCCTCGTGACCCGTCACACTGGCTCACAAAGGCTGTTCTCTTCCCATTCTGGCCTCTCTTAATCATTTCAAGTCTTCAGAATGCACAAGCCAAACCCCTTTGCCCGAGCTCCGTGCCCCGGAGGGGGTCTGTCGGGGTCATTGCTGGCTTCGGGCATTATCTGGAGGTTCTCTGGTCTGTGTCACAGCTCCGGCCAGGGTGGCACGCTCACAAACCTGGTTCATATTTTTAAACATCACCAGGAAAAGAGATTCTGCTGGCACGGTTGAGAGTCTCACATTTGTCCGTCAGTCCATTCGCCACGCTGCCGTGACTCGAGGAAGAGGAAGGGTTCACGATACGGAAGCCGGGCAGCCTTAAGGGGCCAGCAGGTCTGGGAGACTTCTGAGCCGACAGCCCCCCAATAGCACAGCCGGCCGTGTCTGAGGGGGTGGGCCTGCCATCCTGCAGTTGTCAGGTGAACAGTGTCAATCAGCTTCCAGTGAAGCCACCCTGGACACTTGAGTTTCCCAGGGAGCCCTCTGGGAGTGAGGAAGGGTGCCTTTCCCAGCCGGCTACAATGGCATTGGTGGGACAGGTGGCCTGACGCAGGGGGAGCTCTTGCCGCTTAAAGGAACACCTGTCTTGTCAGCAGTCTGGCATTTTAAGGTGGATTACAGAAAAGGGGAAGCTATTCAAGATAAGAGGCTTAAAAGGGAAAGATGTGCAGAGAAGAAATCTACCACGTCGTGACCTGTAGTCCCAGGAGAAGAGTCAGAGTCTTTTGCTGGGTCCCAAGTCTTGCCTGAATCCAGATACTCCTGCCAAAGAGGAGGATGTTCTCTTTAAAAAGGGCACCGTGAACACATCTTCCATAACGACACATCATAGCCTGTAGTTTTAAAGCAAACGATGACATTAAGATGTGCATTTTGTTTGCCAGTGGATTTCAGGTTATTTCGTTAGTATCGAGTGAAAGGTTCACCTTTGGCGATGCCTGGGGACACACGGTTAGGGCAAATAGAGCCGGGCAGGTAAGGGCAGCAGCTTGAGAATCAGACCTAAGTAAGACTCCTAGATCTCCCATTCATCAGCCAGGTGGGCACGTTAATTTAACCTCTCCATAGCTCTGTGTCTTTTTTTGTAAAACGGAAAGGAAAGGAACCTCCCCGCACACGTGGGTGTAGGGACCAAATGAAGTCCTGCATGTAAGGTGCCTAGCACGGGACCTGGCGCCTTAGTAACAGTGCTCTTTGCTAATGGCGGGCCCAGTGCTGCTGAGAGCCTCCCCTGGACTCTTGCTGAATGCCCACGATGGTCGTTAAGAGACAGGCAGGGTTGTCATTCCCCTTCCACAGATGAGATAAGTGAGGCCTGATGAGATTAAGCTACTTGCTCAAAGTCACAGAGGAGAAGCATTTGAAGGCAGGCCTTGGGCAGGCGCCGTGGGCTACACGCCCTCCGAACAGGAAGGCCATCATCAGCCCTCCCCAGCTGCTGGCTTCTCGTCCCGGATCTCGTCTTGGTCTGTGGACCAGGAGCCCCTCCCTTGGTTCCCTGCAGGACCCCTGGGCCCTGACTCTTGCAGAAATGACGGCATGGCCTCAGCAGCTCCAGCCTTAATCCCCTGAGCCCTCCAAGCAGGACCAGTGCCACCTCCAGATGATGGTTTGGAGTTGAGAGAGACACTTTGGATTTGGGGGGCAGTCCGAGGGCAGGGCTCAGACTGCCCTGTGTCAAGGGTTTTATCCTTACCTCGAGCAGCAGAGATGAGGTTTGAAGCTTTCTGGATCTTCCTGTCACTATCCGTCCTTTCCCTCCGAGTTGGAGGCTGGCTCTGGGAGCCGGATGTGGCTGGTTGGGAAGGCCACACGAACCCCATTCCAGGGTACAGAGATGAGTTTCCCAACCTCCCGCACACCCCCGGGTCCCGTGCTTTTGATGACAAGCCGGTGCTGCCTCCTAGCCAGAGACTCATGCCAGGCCCCTCACTCCCATGTTTCTCTTGGCTCCCACCCTCTCATCGGGGTCCTGCAGAGGTGAGAAATGTTTGTAGATATTGCACTAGATAATGTGTCTCCAACTCAAGTAGAAAAAGGCAGTTAAAAAAAGAAGTGATGCCCGGAACTTAATTTTAACGATGCACTGTAATGGTCTTCACTATGTTATGCATTAGCAGAATGTTTGGTAAAGCTATTGCCTTCTCTAACTTGAGAGGAACCCCACGTGCCTTCCAAGCTGGCAACCCACGGAGAAGAGGTTGGAAAGCCAGAAGCTAGTCCTCTCTGTCGGTTACTTTTGTCTGCATTTGGTGAGGAGTTATGAGGAGGAGGTGAGCTCAGGAAAGAATTACATGGTGTTCAAGGGAAATAGAATCCAGAGATCCAGGGCCTTCCAGGGTTGAAAAATCTTCTATATCCTAAGTAGAAAAAGATGAGAAATAAGAAGAATTGGGGGCAACAAAAACCCAGTAAAACTTTTCCCTTGGATAATGTGACTCAGGACAGGATCAGACTAGGGCATGCCTCTATTTATTATTCTAAATACCCTCAAGACAGTCATCAAGGAGAGGAGAGGTATGGAGGTGAACCAGCAAGACACGTTAGGTGCTAGAATTGTCTAGGAAAAGACTTGGGGTGAGTGTGGCTATGGGCACCGAAAACTGACTAGAAGCAAATGGGTCTGAAGAGTTGCATTGCCAATGGAACCATGAGCTGGGGTTCCCCTCCTCTCACAAATAAAAGTCCTTGACAATTTGCAGCTGTAAAAGGACCCTTGGACCTCCAACCGTGGACCTCAACCATGAGCAGGAGGGAGAGTATGCATCCCCGCAGGAGGACAGGCTCCACCTTACCCATTTCAGAGGTGGCCAAAGAGGATGGTGGCCAAGGAGGAGGCCCCCAGACGGAAGAGCCGGGGCCAATGCCAACAGTGGGCGGGAGTCTCCTGCAAAGCAGGACCAGTGAGTGAAGGAGCCTCCTTGCGGTGCCGTCCCTGTCCCACCGCTGTATCGGGTCCCCCAGGGGATCCCCGGGTCCCTGGCCCAGGAAGAGCCTCTTTGGATGAGAAGAGGCTGGGGCACCAGTGTCACCAGAGACCCCAGGC